AGTCATATTTTGTTTCTGTTTTATATATAGTAGGTACCTATGGTATGCTTATAAAAAGTTTAGCCAAGCATATTTTATTGAATCAGAATAAAATTATTATAGATAAAATAGTACTTTATAGTGTAAAAGCGTGTAATGTTGGTGATTACCGCTGAGGTGCCATTGAGACCAGAGCCGTTAGGTAATCATCAATACACACAAGTATCATACGACGACGATTTTTAACACACTTGTAAAGAAAATAATACTGAAAATCATTTTATAGTATATAAAAAGTTTATTTAGAGAAACAATTTGTAAATGTGCAGTTAGTAAAATTAGTGATGAGTATCTTCACTAAAAGCATCTGGCCATGATTCTTTATGTGACCATTTCTTTCTTTGGTCGGCCTTGTCTGTTTTCCCAGGAGTTTTTTTTTTTTTTTATAGATAGATCCGACAAATGACTCCACCCCACCTGATGTTAAGTGAAGGTGAAGTCCAGACGCGAAGATAGCTGATACAGCAGTTCTAACTGCCACACCAGCCATCCTCACCCTGCCGGCCTGCAAGTTGCTTCTTCACGCCTCTTTTAAAGGATCCCAGGTTGTAAGAGGGAGGGAACACGTGAGCGGGCTGAGAATTCCATTTACGAATTGTACGACAAAGAAATGAGTCACCAAATTTCTTTGTACGCGTTGGAATTGTAGCCACAGTTAGACGGTGACAACGTAAGCCAGCGCGCGTGGTCCTCAGAAGGAAAGGGGAAGGTGGAATAAGAGAGAATAACTCCTCAGAACACTCGCCGTGGTACAGACGATAGAACGCGCTTAGTGACGCCACGTCACGGCGTAATTGAAGAGGCTCGAGGTGTTTAGTCACCTCCTCATCGCCTATGATGCGGATTGCGCGCCGCTGTAACCTAAAGCATCGAGCAAGTACTTAGCGGAACCATCCCACAGGTGCGAGCAATATTCCACGCAAGACCGCACCTGCGTCTTATATAACAAGCACAGTTGCTCGGGCGTGAAGAAACGCCGCACCTTGTTCAGGACTCCGAGTTTGCGTGAGGCTGTTTTTATCACACTTTCGATGTAATTCTTTGGATTTAAGTCACAGCGAATCTCCATACCGAGCATGGTGATACTGCTCTCTAGCTCCAGTGTTGTGCCCTGAAGAGAAGGACATAAAAGGAATGGCGACGTTTTTGCCGTGAAAGCACAGACCTGGGTTTTCTTAGCATTGAACTCAACCAAGTTCTTGGTACCCCACACAGAAATGTGGTCCAAAGCCTGATTGAGCTCAATGACAAGATTCTCCCGTTTCTCCTTGGTTACCGCCTGCCCAGCCGCTGCTTGTCCGAGATACCCCGCATGCACTGTACTATCGTCTGCATAGCAATGAATATTCCCAAGAGGAATTAAGTCATTGATATGCAGCAGAAAGAGAGTGGGGGATAGGACGGAGCCCTGGGGAACGCCGGCATTCACTGACATGAACCGCGAACTGCTACCATCCGTAAGGACACGAATTCTACGATCATGCAGGAAGTCAGCTACCCAAGAACAGAACTGGGCCGGCAGACCGTATGCCGGAAGCTTGGAGAGAAGACTTTTGTGCCAGACCCTGTCGAATGCCTTGGCAATGTCAAGGATATTAGCCAACGACTCGCCTCGCTTGTCGATAGCCTCACCCCAGATATGAGTCAAGTACGCTAGAAGATCACCCGTCGATCGTTTCGGTCTAAAACCATATTGACGATCATTGATCAGGGAGTGATCCTCTAGGTAGCGGGTCAGATGGTTGTTAAGGACCTTTTCTAGGAATTTACATAATACTGAGGTGACTGCTATTGGCCGGTAGTTAGCCGGGTCTGAGCGATCCCCTTTTTTGGGTACCGGTTGCACGTTAGCATCTCTCCAAGTTTCCGGCACACGCCCCAAAGAATACGAGCACTGGTACAAACGCGTGAGCACGGGAGACAACTCCGTTGCACATTTTTTCAGTACTACTGCTGGGATGCCATCGGGTCCACTAGCTTTCCGGACGTCGAGTGATTGCAATTCGGCACGAACCTCACGCTGCCTGATTTTGATATCCGGCATCGTTGTGCCACAATGAGGTAATGATGGTGGCAGTGCATTGCAATCATCGATTTGGGAGTTAGCCGCAAAGAGTTTTGCCAGTAAATCGGCTTTCTCCTGCGGCTTATGAACTAGAGTTCCGTCTAGGCATCTCAGAGGTGGCAGCGAGGGCTGGCAGAAGTTCTTTTGCACGGCCTTGGCCAAACGCCAATAGCTACGGGAGCCCGTAGGATGCGTTATAAGTTCGTGACCAACACGTGCTACGCGCTGGGCATCCGCTCTGATGAAAGCCTTCTTACAGGCCTTGGAAGCAATATTGTAGGCTGCTTTTAGTGAATCGACCCCGGGATCCTTAAGAGCGCGGCCTCTGATCCAAGCACGATATGCCGCTTGCTTACGCGACGCAGCTTCAGCACAGTCGTGATTGAACCAGAGGTTACGTGTGCCCTTACTGATGAGATTGGAATGAGGAATATAGTATTCCATACCCATTACAATCTCCTCAGTAATAGCAACGGCGCTGGCCGATAGGTCCTTGTCACTGAAGCAGCGCTGCTTCCAAGGGACGGACGCAAAGTAGTCACGCATACCGTCCCAATCTGCCGACCCATAATGCCAAATCCGGCGTTTTACCACCGTTGGACGCGGAGGCTTGGCCTGTGGCGCTTTGGCAGATATCAGGCAGTGATCTGAAGAGCCCAGGGGGGCTCCTACCACAACCTGATAGCCCTGTGGATGGGTCGTGAGCAGAAGGTCCAGTAATGAAGGCGCTTGACTTGAAATATCTGGAATCCTGGTGGGCTGATCGACCAGTTGCTTCAAGTCCTGCGTGAGAGCGAACGCGTGAGCAGAGATCCCGGCATGGTCAGTTTTAGAGGAACTTAACCACAAATTGTGGTGAGCATTAAAGTCCCCCAAAAACACCAATTCTGCATTGGGAAATTGCTCCTGCGCGTCATCTGCTGCCCGACTAAGATGTTCGAAAAGTCGAGTTGTCTCAACATCGCCAGTGTGGGATCTGTAGAGGCACACGTAGACTCTGGCCTGGGGACCAGAATCGACGTGTACCCCCAACATGGAGGAGGGATCTTCCAAGCAGCGGAGACGGCGACAACAAACATCCGCCCGAACATACAGGCATACACCGGCTTTCGCTTTGAAGGACTCTTCAAGCACGTAGCCGGGATAATTAAGGTAGCCTGTGTCAGCAGGCGGAAGTATTTGTGTCTCCATCAGGAACAACAATGCTGGCCGTGCTGTCTCAAGATGGTGGTGGACAGCATTGAGGTTAGAGTGGAGTCCGCGTATGTTGCAGAACTCGACCTCAAACAGCGTTGAAGGCGTGGGGGTGTGCCGGTGCTCAAAACAAAGTTTGGACGTACAGCGGTCTGTACGTCCAAACTTTGTTTTGAGAGCTGCCATTATGGAAGTGATAAAGAGACGTGAAACGAGTGGACGTTGTCGCGACAAGACCGGGCAAATTAGGGAGGCATGTTTCCCCGAATAATTGCCTGCAGAGGATATACGCCGACCCGCCGGACGGAAGGGCCCCCGCACCCCCCCGGAAGTGGCCGCCGGGACCCCACGCCGACACGACGGTCCACCCCGAGATTATGCGTGACATGATGGGGCAGCCTCGCGCACTGGTTAGGAACGCTCGGGCCCCTGTACTGTGCCACGGGCGGCTAGCGGGACAGCCGTTTCTACGGGTCTCCCTGGCCGGCGGGTCGATGCAGTCCTCCCGGCATCGGTTCGACGGATGCCTCGCCCTGGACCGAATCCGTCGCGACAACCTACACTCGAGCCCTGGTTGTAGGCTGGCTGACCCCGAAACGCGCGAGAAGCACTTCGCGGGTTTTTCACCATGCGCACGGTGGTAACAAACCAGGCGGGTGTTAGGCACCCTACCACCAGCAGAGCGGATGGAAGCTCCGATATCCCTTAGTCGCCTCTTACGACACCCACGGGAAGAGAAGGGGCGGTGAGTTGTATTCTTTCTCCGTCACCGCACGGATAAAAGTTTCAAACTTTCCATCATTCTTAATACCTTCGTTGACTATCCGACTCTCTGATTTTCCTGAAAAAAAGTAATAAAATATGTAACGGAATAGAAACAATAACTTATTGACATGAAGCAATTAATTCAAAATTGGTAGAAAACCTGACCGACTTGAACCATAATAACGTATCAAAAGAAATGGTCGTACTACAATATTACCTATTTACAATGTCAATCTAACCTAAAAATGTGCAATGTAAACAATGCCTTTTTTGGTCTCAAAATCGTAAATTGAGTAAATTTGTAACTTCAGCAGATTACAAACAAATATGTAGTTACACGATTACATACCCGTCATAGATGCTGTTCGCCCATAAACATCATCCAAATCCCACAAAATTCGTCCAGCTTGGTAGTCTTCGAAACATCGCTGGAAATTTTTAAAAATCACTTCCCGCGTGCCACTCCGATTTACTTTACTCATTTTTATACCTTTCTGCGTAGTTTCGTCTTAATTTATTACAGTTTAATCCAAACAATCAAAAATACAAAAGGAAAACTGTTCCACAACTGAAACTCGATGACAGCTGATGTACATAAGTTTGGTGTTGCCAGACACATGAATAATGTTAGTTCCTCAAACATTCATGTCACGACTTTATAGACAAACTGTAGGTTTTCTCGTGTGATCAGTGGCTAACCGTCTGCGTTAGGCTAGTAAAAACCACATTCGCAGATGCATCGTTCTCCTTGCGAACCTACCCACATTTAAAATAATAAATAAGTAACCACGATTAAGTGATAACGAAACACAATGTTCTTTTCAATTTCTTCAAAAACTTTTATTTAGCTATGATCTTATCTTTAATAACGTAAACAATCACAGTCCGCTTAAACGTTTCATTATAGAGTAGGCCTTAAGTATTGTCGTTATTGCAGAAACTTTAAGGAAATATCCTCCAGTATCTCGTGTGGACAGAAAGTGCACTAAAAACTACACATTGCCTGGCACAACAGTGCAAATCAAAGCTGGCGAAACTGTAGCGATTCCAATCTATGGCATACATATGGATCCAGACATTTATCCCAACCCTGATGAGTTCCGTCCAGAGCGGTTTATGGGTGATGAGAAAAAGGAGAGACCTTCGCATTTGTTCTTACCCTTTGGAGCAGGTCCAAGAAATTGTATTGGTGAGTAAAAAATCGATGAGTTAATAATTTTAGGCCATTTATCCCTTGGCGGTAACAACATTTAAGCAATTTAGCGGATTTTGCACTCCAATTGAAAAGTAATCTGTAACATAGGTTACAGAAAATTGGAGTAAAATAGCACATATTAGTCTTGTATTTCTGTTGGTAATGATTGATTCATATTTCAAATATGTAATGGCAAGAGTTAGGCGTTGTCCGCAAACAATCGCAACAAGTTTTCCAGTTCACAATTATTTTGGACTACTAACTATTAACTTATTATTACAGCGTCACATACATTATTATTTTGACGGTTATTTTGCACATTAAAAATGTCAGATACATTATAATAATGTCCAAAATAAGCGTCGATAATCTTTTTCTTTCTTTCTCAGTCAAGAATTTTAATAGGAAAACTTTTACTCCAAAACCGGGAGACCTCTAAAAACAAATTATTTTAATAAAAAATACGTATAATTCATTGCAGGGCTCCGCTTCGCCATGTTTTCAGCAAAACTAGCGATGATTGCACTATTGAAGAATTTCAAATTTTCAACATGTTCTAAAACAGTTGACCCTATAGAGTTTGACAAGAAAACTATTTTGTTAAAAGCAGAAAGTGGCTTGTGGGTCCATCTTGAATCTATTTAGTAAGTGTTACTCTGTTACTCAGTATATCTGAATATTACGACCGCACTTGGAGATTGCTATTTCTTTTAAGTAGGATTAATTTAAATTCATGTCGTCAACGAAGATACACTATCACTTAGAACACCATATAAATAAGTTGAGGTAGGTCTTACATTTCGATGATTTATTTAGTCGAGCGATTTGTTTTTCAAAACCCAGATTATTAAATGCTGCAGTGCGATTCTGTAAAATAAAATTTAACTTCTTAATTGGACAACTGCCATTTTAGACACAAGTTTGATATGAAGCAGCCCGTAATAGATATTTGAGAATTGTTAAAAATCCGAATATATGAGATCGTCAGTGATATTGTATCTTACAGAATCGACACGCAGATTGTAATTGAGATTCATCGGTGATGAAAATTTGCGCTTACTGAGGTCTATCACTGCTCACGGGATAGGAGAATATAATACCTAGTCAGGTCATAAATTCTGCCACATGTTTAATATAAAATAATTGAAACAAGTTTATTCATTATGTAACCATTTATATACCAAAATGAACTTAACAAAACATAGATTCTTATGAAAATAAAGTTTATTCAAAATGACCTCCGTGATTTTGAATACAGGCCTTCAATCTGCGCGGCCAGTAGTCTATCGCAGCACGAACGAGGTCCATGTCAATATCGGCGGCTGCCTTAATCAAGGATGTCTTGAGTGACTCCAAATTGGGATGAGGCTTTGAGCACGCCTTTTCCTCCAAGTGTTGCCATATCTTGTAATCTAACGGACTCAAATCTTGACTGGAGGAGGGCCAGTCTTCCTGCCGGATGAAGTCGATTTCACGCACCGCCAGCCAGTCTTGTGTGCTCTTCGCTCTATGAGCTGGCGCCGAATCTTGTTGGAATACCCAGTGCCTGTTCTTGAACATGGTATGAGAAACAGGTTCCACAAGGTTCGTCAGAACTGTATTTTGATACACAACTGCATTCGTTTTTACACCTTTCTCACAAAAATGTACCTCTGTTAAGCCCCAATATGAAACTCCCAACCATACCATGAGCGAGGATGGAAAATGACCTCGTTGGACACGCGGAATACGGTTGCTCGCTTCTTCACTACTGTGTACGTACACCTTATCATTTTGTTTGTAGTAGCTCTCTTCTACGGTAAAAATTTTTTCATCCGAAAAAAGAATTTCCCGATATTTTTTTCCCGCGTACCGCTTCAACAAAGCCCTAAGTCTTATTGAACACCCTTTTCACCGTGGTTCTGCTTAACCCCATCTGAAGGGTCAACAGTTTCTGCTTACGTTTGGAATTTCTTTGAATTCGTGCCTTCACAGCTTTTATTCACTGTTGGAGTCCAACAGACCGAGGGCGACCACTTCTTGACCTGTCATCTACACTAGAGTCTTCATTGTATCGTTTGATGGTACGATAAACTAATCTTTTGTTTATATTCAAAATTTTCAGTATGTCAAAAATTTGAATTGGCGCGTAACCGCAACGATGCAACGCAATAACTGCAACACGGTCTTCTTTAAGCGTCCACTCCATATTTAAAAAATGGGTAAAATTCTAAAAAGTATACATTTTTATTTTCATGAACAATTCGAAATTCGAATTCAATAAACTGTTTTGTAGCCAGCATTCTAAAAGAAAAGTTATTACTGTGTGACAATACTTATGACCTGACTGTGTATAATAGGATCGACTGATCTCGACATGTTCGGGTTCGCGGCAGTCCACATAGTCTGTATATGTGGACTGCGTTGCCCGAATACGCGCAGGTTTAGTTATCAGAGTGCTTCGTTTTACATGCAAACGTACAGTTTCTTTCTTTATCCTTCATGGATCTAATTCAATTGACATTGCTTAATATATACTCATTAATAGCAGGCAAAGTATAAAATGGATTTAAATCACAATGTACAACAAAATCTTAAAACGTGTATTTAACCAGATAGTTGTCATATCACAAAGTACAAATGCAGTAACAGTATAAAATTTAGATTTTAGTAAAAGTAGCTATAAAGAATCCTATAGTATCTCTATAAATTGGTTCAGTTGGTCTTAGCGGATCTATTTCAGGGCTGAATCTCTGTACCATCATCCTGAAACAAATGTAACTATGTATTAGGTATTAAGAAACAGTGCCTTAACTATTCTATTGTTGCGTGTTTCGTTTTATTCAACGTTATCATTTCCGCTTACTTATCCTTATCACGTGGTTTATTTACACAACATACTTGTACATCATAAACAAAGAGACGTTCAGATATTGTCATATGATCTTTCACAAAAACGTCTTGAAATCCAGACGCATAAATCACGATTTACACAAAATACTTGTACATCATAAATAAAGAGACGTTTAGGGCCCTATTTCACCGAATCGATATATATCACTGACATATGTTATAAAAATGACAGCCTTACTTGAATGACAATTATGTTGTGAAACATGGGTAATTATTTTAAGTCGACATTTGTCGCTTATTCTTGACATGACGCCGGGGCTGTGTCAAAGTATTACAAAAATAGTGTTCTTGTTGTTCGTTATAAAATGGCTCTCCGCAAAAGCTTGATGTACAGGAGAAGGATTTTGCATTCAGAGAAAAAAAATCCGCTTAAGCAAACAAAACCAGTATCGAACATTTAATTATTGAAATCGGTGTAGTAAATATATTACCCCACAACAAACCTTCGGCTTACATATGTCGACTTGGTTGAAGTAGGACCCTGGTATTGTCATATGATGTTTCACACAAAAAAATATTGAAATGTGATCCAGACGTTCGTTAAAGTTAGAATAGGATTATTTACAAAGAGGAAACGCAGAGGTGACGGGCAATCCTCGACGCTCGCGCTAATATTGGGTCAAATGCTAATCTCGAGTTGGCCAACTACTCGTCCAATGTGTGCGTGTAGCTCTGGAGCCAATAATTTTACCAAAGTGCAGAACAACCTAGGCCAGTTTCATTAATGAACCTCCGGTAAAAGGTAAGGATAATCTGGTTCCGGATTTTAACAACATTGTTAATATTATATAAATAATAAAAATGTCTCTATAGGCAACAAGCCCTAATGAGCCTATCTATTATCGAAGTAATTATTGAAACTGGCCGTAAGTCGCCATTTCCCAAGTGCACATGAGCTTTATATATGTAGCGATTATGTTACAATGACAAGAACTGAATGTGTAAAACTTGCCTTTTGTAATAGTATATAAAATATAGAGTAATAAGATTATTATGTAATAATAAGCTTAAGCGCAGGCCACACCGGAAGCGACAACTCTTTGAGTGAAGCGATATAGTTTGCAATCCGTTATTCTACCAGTGTGACCCGTGGTTTATACTCGTTATCGAATGCCATATTTATATGTTTAGATTACCTGGTGTCTTTTTATTACGCAACTTACAATTACTCAAGCCTAGTGTGATGTTACCCTTTGCCATTTGTAATTATGTGATACCGTCGGTACTCGAGTTCACAGGTTTCGGTATAGTCTCATATTATTTTCGCTTACCCCGTTGTTCGATACATAGTTAAATGTGTCTATTAGTCAATGTCAAATCAAATACATATCAAAATGTGTAAAATTTTGACAAATGGTTACTTTTTCAAACGTACTTTAACTATGTATAGTCACATTTTACTATGTATTAAACAACAGGCCCTAAGGGCCACTTGCATGTAAATGTCAAGTTAAATAATCCCAGGGTTAAAAATATTTAATGTTTAGGTCGGAGCTTACCTTGAACGCATAGAAAATCAGCACGAGATAGCTAACCATTTTGTTGTCAAAATTGACAATGCCTAAAGATTCATTTGCACGTAGCAATTTTCTTGCACTGTATGCGAGAGCAATAACTGAATGTATAGTGCATTCAATTAACGTTGCGCAATAATTTTAACTTCAAGAATTGCAACTGTTTACATGCGGACATAGTTAATGTTGCATACAATTATTCAATGCCAGTTTTGACGTAAAAGAATTGCAAATTTCTTTTAGTTACACCAATACAGTTAGTATTGGTGTAACTAAAAGAAATTTGCAATTGTTTAAGAGTTTTGACATGTCTAAAGGCACAGGCTTTTATGTGCGTGTACCATTTTTTAGTGAGTTGCTTCAAGAACTGCACGTACTTGTGTTGGCGAATTTTCATTCAAATATTGAACGTTTTAGATCAGGATCTGTTTATAAAAAATACATTGAGATTTATCGCAATCATGAGTGTTTATGGGACACTAATAGTGTAAATTACAAAAATCGTGATGCACGTAATGCTGCATTGCAGCATTTTGCTCGAGAATTTGGATGGAATGGTAAAAGACAGAGGCCGTTCACCTTTCAGTTAGATAAGACCAAACAAAACGTGACCGGACTCATTCTACCGACCAGTGTAGCCAGGTCAGATTTTTAAGAAGCGGAAGGCGCTATAAGAAAAAGCAGTAGATGCAGAGACGTCTTTTTCCGGTTTGCACCCCACCTAGAATTGGTAAATCAAATCAAGATATAGACCAGTAACGAATCTGTTTCTGTGGCTTCTGCCGCCCATCAAAGTTGTTTTTTTAGACATTAACATTTATAATAATTAAGGTTACCTATATTATTCATGGCGGAAAATACAACTCAACATGCAATTTAAAAAAGAAAAGAGTAATCTAAAAAAAACAGTAGATTCATGTAGAAAAACAGTAGAACAGGAGAAATTTCAGAAAAACAGGAGATCTCCTGTAAAATCGGTAGACCTGGCACACCGACTGTCCTTAGACAAGCTAAAGATATAATAGAATGGAGAAACGGTAAAAGCATATCAAGAAAGGCACCACCCTCAGGAATGAAGAACGGCGTGTCGTTTTACATGCTAAATATGACAATGACAGTTTTTTTTTAATATTCTTCCTTTATGGGAATGCAAGTGATGTTTAGTAGTTTCAATAGACTTGTTTTTAAATCCCCTATTCAATAGGTAGCCTTATCATCGACTTGCCCTTTCGTTGGGGCTATGGTTAACAAATAGATACAATTGATTCGGGTACGCGCTTACCATATCAAAAAACATCAATGGGGTTTTTCGATACGTTCCGTCGTTTGCAGATTCCTGGTGGAGACAATTAATACTTTACTTTATTACAGTTCATAACAAGGTTATGTTCTATGAATGGGCAAACAATTAATAATGCGGCTCATGATACATTATTTTGTTGACATTAAAGTAAATGATAAATCTGTGATCGATGACATAATATGGAACTATACCGAAGTATATTACTCGAGGCATTTTTGTGATTAATTAGTACAAGTATTTTCTTTAAGTGATGTGAATAGGTATTTTACAAACACATGCTTTTTTAAGATTGTTTATGTTATATAGAGAATTCATAAGAATTATTGTTTTTATGTAAGCCAATATTGGGTATGGAAATCATGTTTTGTATTAAAGCAAATGAATAAATATTTATTAAATACCTTTGCTCGTCACTTAGTCCACATCCTTGCAATCCCGGACTTCCGTGTAGAGGATCTGCTCGAACTAGCTTCAAACAAGGAAATTTCTCTAGAGCCCATAGTACCATACCTTCATTTTCATCAACTGTCACTGTACATGTACTATATATTAATCGCCCCCCACTTTTTAGAACTTGTACAGCCTAAAATATTTAAAGATATAATAATTAATAATATATAAAATAAAATATCAGCTAAGTATGGGCAATATTAAAGGAAGCTAGTGAGCACACAGAAACTTCAATTGGCTTTTTGTGATAATAATAGATTATGAAAACAGCATTATATATAGCACTCTTCAATGTGATTATTGTAAATCAAATACATTATCATTAGAACTTACAGCACTCATTAGTTTTCTTTGAACAAATTTATATGATTCTAACATTTTGGGAGTCATTTTATTCATAAGTTGAGGTCTTTGACCTAAACCACTGCAAGGAGCATCAAGTAGCACTTTATCAAAACTATGAGAAGGATAAGGTGGACTGCCATTGATCCCAGTACTATTACTTGAAAAGCATTTTGTGGAATCAAATGAGTATGCTTTAACACACTGTACTCCTTGTTTGCTACAGTTTTCTTTTATCTTTACTATTTTCTGGGGGGTCTTATCCAATGCTATTATTATGGCCTGAAAGTAAAGATATATTTTTAAACAAATGTATGGTTGGTAAGAGCCTTGTCATACTAACGGATTGCGTTTTCAAGGCAGAGTGGACGCGCAACGAACACGTTGCAGTCGCGCAGCGTTCTTACCGTGAATAGCACCTTGAACGCCATTTTCTACAGTCGCATATGCAAGCCTATTTTTAGATGACAGAGACACCGATAGCCTAATTATTCATTGAATTACTGAGTGTATTGTACGTAATGAAAACGTTGCGCGTCTGCGACATCTTCACTGCGCACCCGCTCCGACTAGAAAACGCTCGCCCTAAAAAGGCGATACCTAAAGTATTATGTAGGTACCTATGAAATGTTTGTACACACCTCATCATTACTCATTTCTGCTAAATGTGTTGTCTTGTTTCCTGGCGCAGCACACATGTCGAGAATATATTCATTAGGTCTTGCGTCGACTACCCAACCACATACAATAGATGGAAGATTTTGTAGTACTAATACACCCTCTGGATATATTGCTTCATTTATAACAGGTAATCTTGAAATTGGCATAATTGTCTGTACAGCAATTCCACTAATAAAGGACAAAAAAAGATTATCTTTCGGCCTTTAATATCTGCTATACAATATTATCTATCAACCAATAAATATTATCAAAGCAAAGTGATACCAGAATATCATCGAAGTTTCCAAGAAGAAGTACGACGTTATTGAGGTGTGGGTTTCTCACTTTCTATTTACGAAAATATTTGATGAATGAGATTAATACATAGACTTTTATTTTATTGCATTATTAAAAAAAACCCATACATCAGGTTTTACTAGCCACATTTTCTGCATAAAGTGGCAGTTTTGGACCCCGCTCAAGGTTATTTGTAGATTGTAAGCAATCTAATATAGATTGCGGATTGGCGGACAAAAAAGTCTGCAGACAAGTCTTTCGTCTGGGCAGACCATAATATGCAAAAGTTTTTGCTATATTAATAATAATATAGAAACATAATAAGTATTACCCACCTGGGCTGAACACCATTATCAAATAGTTCATATCTTAACATTTTTAAAAGTCCTGTGCCTACAAATAGTTTTTTACCAGTGTAGGCAATTTTCAGGCCCCTTTTACAATGACCCTCCAGATCACCATAGATTTTAACTTTTTCATTAAGATTACAATCTAAAATAAAATAAGAAAAGTGAACATCTTAATACAGGTAGCCGTTGGTTTTATATAAAATATTAAATTACAGTTGACATAAATCAGTCCGGTATTTTAAAGTTATGTAAATAGGAATTAGCAAGGTTGCTCTGATTTTTTTTAAGAAAAAATGTAACAGATGCGCCTAAATTCTTAACAAATTCGGTATTACCGATGTTCGGCAGCTTTTACCGAACTTTATCTTCAGCCAAATTTCGGTTAGATCTACTGAATGTCGGCCGAAATTTGACAATGAAAAAAGAAATGTATCTACAACCATGCTTTAAAACCACTACCTACGTGCCTCGTTGCCCGCGAGTTTTGCCCCGTCACCCACGAGGCAGGCTCCGCCACCCGCGCCGCGTGAGGCGATCTATGAAACAAGCACGCCGAGCGGACGCCCGCTCGGTGCCCTGCTTAACGGTGCGCACGCCTTAAAACACTCGTATGATACTATTATCATATTAATGATGAACTCCATTCGTGTTTTAATACCCCTCATTATACAACAATTGCATAACTATTAAATATTTTATTTGTTTGCTAAAATTGGCATGTCCGGTAATAGCACCTGTTACCATGCGCAAAAAAGGTTGCTCAGCTGTAGGAGAGTTTTGTAGAGGGCAGCGTTCACCCGTGGCAAAGCGAGCTTGGTCTGCCTGCCGGTCTCCAGATCGAGCCAGTGTTGCTGGTGTAGTGCGGCTGTGTGCTCGCGGGTTTTATTGACGAAGCAGCTTACCGGTACCTGTTGGGGTTGTATCGGAGCCCTTCCGGGCCAGATCTTCGTTTCTGTGTGATCCGCTGTGTCCCTTGATCCATTGATAGTAATAGGATTGCTTGACCCTACCGTGTTTAAGATCTGGTGGCATTCATGTAGGAGGCTCGATTTGACCATAGAGGCACCTAGAGCTTGTAAGACTGATTTGCTGTCGGACAGTATTTCTATTTCTTGTCCTGTTACATTTCTGGAGAGGATTGCTCTTGCCGCCAGTAAAATGCCCATACATTCAGCTTGGAAAACTGTGTTGTACGGGCTTAGGGAACCAAGGGAAAAGCGATGTCTATATTGAGGTCCTCAGAGAAAAAACGCGCGCCTGTGTCCGATGAGGTTCAAGGACGTCAACCACACTTTATGAAATCCCTCCAAAAATTCTCAATATGACGTTACTTATGACAGTGTGGCCAGTATCCTTATAGAGTTGACCAATTTTCAAACACAATTTGAAATTAAACAGATATAAATATATTTTCATGTTATTACATAAAACAAGCTTTGAAATGATATTATATACACAGTCAGGTCATAATTATTGTCACACAGTAAAAACTGGCCACAAAAAAGTTAATTGAATTCGAATTTCGAATTGTTCATGAAAATAAAAATATATATTTTTTAGAATTTTACACATTTTTAAATATGGAGTGGACGCTTATAGAAGACTGTGTTGCAGTTATTGCGTTGCATCGTTGCGGTTACGCGCCAATTCAAATTTTTGACATACTGAAAATTTGAATTTATCCAAAAGATTCGTTTATCGTACCATCAAACGATACAAAGAAGACTCTAGTGTAGATGACAGGTCAAGAAGTGATCGCCCTCGGTCTGTTAGGACTACAGCAGTGATAAAAGATGTGAAGGCGCGAATTCAAAGTAGTCCCAAACCGATACGGATGCACATCAGAGTGCATCCGTCCTCTAAGCGCACTATGCAGTAGTATTTACTAAGGCAGCGCTGCATCATCCCCTTCTCAGGGGTTGATCGCATCAGATGAAGCCTGTAAGGCCCCTAAGGCCATAGGCATCCCCCACGGGTGTGTTTTAGTCAGTAAGAGTCTGACATAACCCTACAACCGGCTGTAGGGTATCCATGAGGATTTCACACCCGCTCCCCCGCCTGGGTGGAAACAAAAAAAAAAGAAATCCCAAACGTAAGCAGAAACTGTTGGCCCTTCAGATGGGGTAAAGCAGAACCACGCCACGGTGAAAAGAGTGTTAAATGAAGCCTTAGGGCTTCGGGCATATCGATGAAAAACAGGTCATCGTTTGAATGCTCGTCTAATGGACCCGAGACTGAAGAGATGCCACGCTTTGTTGAAGCGGTACGCGGGTAAAAATATCGGAAAATTCTGTTTTGGGATGAAAAAATTTTTACCGTAGAAGAGAGCTACAACAAACAAAATGATAAGGTGTACGCACACAGTACTGAAGAAGCGAGCAACCGTATTCCGCGTGTCCAACGAGGTCATTTTACATCCTCGTTCATGGTATGGTTGGGAGTTTCTTATTGGGGCTTAAGAGGTACATTTTTGTGAGAAAGGTGTAAAAACGAATGCAGTTGTGTATCAAAATACTGTTTTGACGAACCTTGTGGAACCTGTTTTGTTTATCATCCCATGTTCAATAACAGACACTGGGTATTCCAACAAGATTCGGCGCCAGCTCATAGAGCGAAGAGCACACAAGACAGGCTGGCGGCGCGTGAAATCGACTTCATCCGGCATGAAGACTGGCCCTCCTCCAGTCCAGATTTGAGTCCGTTAGATTATAAGATATGGCAATACTTGGAGGAAAAGGCGTGCTCAAAGCCTCATCCCAATTTGGAGTCACTCAAGACATCCTTGATTAAGGCAGCCGCCGATATTGACATGGACCTCGTTCCTGCTGTGATAGACGACTGGCCGCGCAGACTGAAGGCCTGTATTCAAAATCACGGAGGTCATTTTGAATAAACTTTATTATCATAATAATCTATGTTACGTTAAGTTTATATTGGTATATAAATGGTTACATAATGAATAAACTTGTTTCAATTATTTTATATTAAACATGTGACAGAATTTATGACCTGACTAGGTATTTCATCGCTGCAGGAAACTGACTACCACTTTTGAACCATCTCAATTAGTTTTACCTGTCACATCATAAGGCAATTGCTGGGTATGCCCATGTGACAGTCTGTCAGTCACATGACTAAGAGACCACATTTATCCATTATAATCATTATATACAATGCAATATGTGAATGGAGGAAGAAGATTTGTCGCTATTTTGGGTTTTGATATATTTTGGGTAGATGAAGGTGATAAGGTGTTGATTCTGGTGTGATTCTTTAAACTTAAAACTAAATTTAACATCAGTCTCTCCTTTTCATTCTGTATAGAGCATGACAAGGGATACACTGTTGTCAAATTCAAGTTTAGATTTAGAGAATCGTGCCAGAATCTACACCAATGTCGATATAAATGACTACAGACCTCAAAAACAAAATAATAAATAATTAATTTAGATAAAAAATTAAAAGCACAGTTTCAAAAATAGAAAATTAAAAAAATTGTGTAAGTGTACAGAAAGTACTTTTGTTTATGGAAAAAGGAGTTATGACCAGGTTCTTTAACTTATCTATTTAATGAAAAATGTAAAACCTGTTTAACGGCTATCATACCAAAAATATTTAAGATCTAAAGAAAAAGTTTACTAGAAATAAATCCACGCGGACCAGGCAGTGGACGGGACTCGAACCCGCATCCTTCGCTATCCGGGCGAATGCACTGACCATTATGCTACCACGGCCCTATTAGCCGCGTCGAAATTTTCCTAGCCTTAAGCTGCAAGGCAGCGCCATCTCTTCGCATTGTAGGTAACCTACAATGTCAAATGAATACTTTTCTTTAGATTTAAACATCTAGCAGTTAAATTTAAGTGATGATTTAGATAACTTGGTGATTTACTTGAAATTAGAGTTATTCAACATATTGCTTTCATCCACTTATGTCATAAATTATTTTACTGAAAGCTGGTGCAGTTCTGTCGTTTGATTCTATTTGACCAGGACTCTGAATGCTCTATGGAAGGTTTTTAATGGTTTTCAGCACAAAAAATACTTACTAACAGGAAGTCCCACCACACCAGGTGCAAATACATTAGCACCTCTTAAAACAGCAGCTGCACATAAAGCATCCACAATTATCTCTTTTCCTTGATACTCCACTGTCACATCTAAAGAATCTTCAGGCCACCTCTCCAATACCAAACAGTCTAAATTCAAAAAGTAAAAGTTTGGTATTACAGAAGTATGTAATTCATTAGTTTGCTAAAAGAGTAATTTATTTTCTGAGTAAATATGTTTTTTTTTCCTTTCACCACCTCAATACTGGACCAGTACCTGATCTGCATACTACTGTTTAATGTCAACGAAACCTAGTTTGCCCGGCATCCCTTGATTTATCATCAGAGATGTACATTTCGTAAATTACGTGATTGAGAAGATACTCAGAGCACCTTGCAAGACTTCTGCATTAGCTACATTGCTCTCAAGTTGAGGCTAGGTAAAACTGATCCGGTTCTGAGGTGCAACATAATTATTATGGAAGAAAACAGTGGATACTCACAGTCGTCAAGAAGTCTTTGAGAATATCGCTATTGAATGATTTAAGCCTGTTTATCCTAAATGTAGTGTATTTTGGAGGCAGTGATAACCAATTTTGTAGATTTTCCATGATGAAAAGTACTTATGATATTTAACGACAGGTATACTTTAAATGCGAGACAAAATAACAAATATGGTATCAAAGGGGGTGTAGGCTTGTTGAAAATATATCGATGTATCGATATATCGATATTTTTTGTTCGATATATCGATATTTTTTGCCGATATATTTTGATTCGATATATCGATACAAAATAACCAATATCGAAATTCGTATCGAAAACGATATTTTTTTAATTATTAGCGGCATATCACGATCTGACTAAATTCGTATCTGGAAAAATCGTAACTAGATCTCAGATTAATGATATTCAACATATCTATGATCTGTGCTGTATTTAGTATTGTCTATTATTTGTAAATCTGTTTCGCTGGTGAATTGGTTGTGCTGATTTCCATTATATTCTGTGGAAGTGTGTGACTGTCTAGTCTTGTTTACGAAAGATGGCACCTGAGAGGCCCTGACATTGGCATTTTCATCATTCGAAAATAGGGTCTATTTTTAGGAAGTAAATTTTCGTTCCATTATTATTCCGCGTGTCATATTTCGTGAGATACTGTACTGTCATGTAGTGTAGCGGCAATTTGGTACTTTGATAATTCTTTCTTTAATTATAATTTGTATTAGGCATGCGTCCGATATATCAAAACGAATCCAAAATCCGATTTCAAACACAAATCGATACCGAACGATTTCTCAACAAGAAAATCCGATTTCAGAAATCTAACCGAACCAAAACGCTAGCGATCTAATACCACAAGTATCCAAATGTAAATCGGATTCGAAATTCGTGCTTTCGTTTTCAGAAGTCAGATTTCGTGCTCGGAAGTCCGATTTCGATTTGCTGTTTACGGAAATCTATTGCCCTTCTCTGAGGTGGGATTATTTATCACTGAAAAGATATGTCGTCTAAAAACATCAAAAGTCGAGCACCTTACATTTTTGGACGCTAACCTGAAGTAATTAGGTTTGATTTTGTAAATGGTTTGAAAAATAATAAAAACAAACAGAAAAACAAAAAAAAATACTAAAAAAATATGTAAAAAGAAATCATTGTATAAAAGCCGATTTTTAAATGCGCCGCAAAAGTTTTACTCTTAACCCTAAACATAACTTTTCTGCTAGTCCTAAGCCTAGATTTAAAGCATGAAGGAAAATCGCGAAAATCTACGAGTATCCTTGCTTCCTACAATTAATTGTTTGTGATTGTCGTTAGCTAATAAAACCAAATCATAACACAAACTAGTGAATTGGCTAAGTTCGGCACATCTGAAATCGGATATCTAAAAACGGATTTTAAAATCGATTTTGAAATCTGAAATCCGATAAATATCCGATTGCGTTCAAAACCAAAAACGCCCATGTCTAATTTGTATTGAACTATTATTACTATGCTAGGCTGGCCTAAATATATTTTTGGAAAAATTGGCCCGATATATCGATATTTTTTTTCGCGATATATCGACACCGATATTGATATTTTTTAAAATATCGATGGATCGATATATCGATATTTTTTTCAACTTTCGACATCCCTAAGGGGGTGGGGTGGGGAGTGTGTCCAGTGTATTACAACTTGTTCTCTTATTGGTACTTTTCTCTATGGGAGTGTGACAGAGGGGGTGAACTGTCAAAATCGATTTTTAAGATTCTCCCTTTTCAGAGACGGCAAAGGAAACAATACCTATACAGCCAAGTCCTTAGTTTTATTAAATTATAAATTTTCTTTTTCTTTTTATTAGAATGACGGTGTGAGTTATTCTGATGTTTCTTGGAGTGTTTGGCAAGAAATGTATCGAGTTGGCTTTTCCGGTAAGCTTCTGTGAGGTAGTCAACACTACAATAAATTTCTCTCGTCCACTTGACCGCAATAGCGTATATTTTAAAGTTTCCACTAATTCTTCAGTTGCGCAGACGGTTGTTACACTAAATCACACCAATTTTATTTCACATTATCCACTATGAACGAATTTAAGAATAATTAAAAGAAATGCATAAGAATACTGTCAACATTGAACAAACTGAAAGCTGCAGACCACATTTTAAAGAGCTTAAAATTCTAACCCTAACAAGTTTATATATTTTCGAACTCTGTAAATTTGTAAAACAAAACCCAAGCTATTTTAAGACTAACGAACAAATGCGGGGAAATACACTAAACATACGTTTTAAAGATAACCTCCACTTACCAGCCAGTAGATTAAAAATGTTTAGCAGTAGTACATTTGTCATGTGCATTAAAATATATAATAAAATTCCACAACACTTGAAGTCGGAGGTTGATGATAAATCATTCCTAAGAACTTTAAAAGATTGTTTAATAGGTAAAGCAATTAATAGTTTGGAAGAGTTTTTAAAGTAACAAAATGACATTATTATACTAAATTGACATTGTAAAATACTTTATTAACATTTTATTTTAATGAGCGCCTATTAATAAATTGAATGATATTTATTTCAATTAGTAACCAATTGTAATTAAGCCACGTTGACATGTTAATAATATTATTTGATTTTTATTTATTTTAAAGTAAATTATTGTGTTATATTGTAGTGCCCCAACGGGGTTCCATGTTTGTACCTAATGTATTTATATTTTAAGACCTTTTAAACCATGGAGACAATAAAGAATTGAATTGAATTGAAAAAAAATAAGACGCCAACCGCACTTGATGATATCCCGCCAAAAACTCGTTTTTTTTTTAATTTATTCATGACCATGGATAAACAAATCCTTCAGTCGTAAGTCAAAATCGATATGTGAGCAGTGCTACCAGGACCGATTTTTAAAAATCGGGAAGCGTTATTAAATACCATAGATACACCGACAAAATTGTCCAAAAGATATTTGGGGATGATTAACCGCTGCTCCCCACTAGCGGTATAGTAAAACGGTAACACTTGGTCAACTTGAGCACTATATTTGGAAATATTTACAACTTTACAGAAATACAATATGTGAGTCGTATAGTATCAAAGGCGGCAAAGTAGGGCGAATCATATTTGATTCTAATATTTTTAATAAATATTTTTGGCAAATCAAAAAAAAACTGTTTTGACTCGTCTTTAAGGGAGGATTTTTATAATTGACATTTCACAACAATTTATAGTTATGATGAATGTCAATGAACATAAAATCATTGCGCAAAATGAACCACAGACACCATAATAATAAAATAAAATTACTATTTGTTTCTTAGGTTTTCACGCACATCACTCATTAAATAAAACTAGTTTTTACGGGTTAATGCAACAAACAAACAACATACAAACAAGAATTTTAAATGAAATACTTTATTAAGTAAATTAAATAATAAATTCATACATAGACAATAAAATTTTAAAAATCTTCCAATGAAATAACCGAACGCTCAATATAAGTCTTTCGAAGGTAGCTCGACAATTTTAAATAAAAAATCATTATTCTGACGATGCAGACCTGAAAAGGCTGCGAAACGTCAATAAATAAATAAAGTTACGAGCATTAACCCGTAAAAACTAGTTTTATAAAATTACTATATTGCCGCCTTTGATAGTAAATTATTAGAATGGCCGATTTTTAACCGAATCTTGATAAATATGGCCGCCTTTGACGCGAACTAAATGTAATGATAGCCGAGTATGAACAGGGTTGTCAAAATTAAAGTTTGTTATATTTAATTAATATTTTTATTGAAAATTAACAGAAATAAAGAACAAATAATAGACCGAAACTAAAATCAAATTATTTAAAATAAAAAAAAAATAAGTAACATTATTTCGTAGTAAAAAACAAAACTTGTTTAAGCAATCACACATGTTTGAATAAAATCTCCTTTTATGGTTTTAATGACATGGACTTAAACATAAAAAATCAATTAATAATAAGAAACTAAAGACCAGGATTTATCAAGCCGGAGTCTTGCGCTCAATTTGAAAGATCACTTGCAATTGGGCACACACCGCAGATATCATAATATGTGTTTGCCATTACGACAATGGAATATTATAATAAAATCAACTAAATTGAAGTAACCAAAATGAATGGACTATTGTACGTTCTGTCGCTCCTATTTAATAAAATTTTAAATAAAAAAAACTATATTTCTACATACTTATTAGTAGTTATATGTATAATACCTACCAGTAATGTTAAGAGGAGAACAGAATAATAAAGATCATGTTTCAATCATGAAACAATATTCGACGGGCAGGACAGGACCCGTAACTATCAAAACAAATCAACAAATATTATTATTATAATGTTTTTTGTGACTTATCCGTGTAATTATATTTACATAGTAAAATCAAATAGGTGCCAACCCTAACCTAGTAAATAACACGAAATTATATTAGCTTTTTATGAGGAATGTCGTCCATGTTTCGCTATTCCTTCTTCGTTTGCTTGTGTAATTAGTAGTACGTGTTAGAGTTTGCTCCATTTTTCTTTAGTATCAAACACTAAAGAAGAAACTTTAAATCACTAAAAACTCAAGACAAAAATGTATTGAACTGCACTTTCTCTGCCATGTGGCGACGCTTTTGCAGAAACTCTTCTGATTGGTTGAAATTAAAATATGGCCGGTTATGATTGCGAGATGAGAAAGATTGCCACCTTTGAAACCAAACTGTGTTTTCAATCAAGTTTTTAAGGGTATTATGGTCATCTGTCTCTCATCATCATCTCTCATCATCTCCGAGTTTGCGTGGGGCTGTTTTTATCACACTTTCGATGTAATTCTTTGGATTTAAGTCACAGCGAATCTCCATACCGAGCATGGTGATACTGCTCTCTAGCTCCAGTGTTGTGCCCTGAAGAGAAGGACATAAAAGGAATGGCGACGTTTTTGCCGTGAAAGCACAGACCTGGGTTTTCTTAGCATTGAACTCAACCAAGCTCTTGGTACCCCATACAGAAATGTGGTCCAAAGCTTGATTGAGCTCAATGACAAGATTCTCCCGTTTCTCCTTGGTTACCGCCTGCCCAGCCGCTGCTTGTCCGAGATACCCCGCATGTACTGTACTATCGT